GGTCGGAACAGCCTCCAGATTCAGCCGCTGCTGCTGAAACTGACCAGGGGCTGACTACAGAAAGCTGGAGGCAGAATTGCTCTGCCCCCAGCTTCCTGAAATCAGCCACTGATCAGTTTCAACAGCTGCTTAATCTCGAGCCAGTTCCGACTTACATACAAATTACATACAGTTCCGACTTACATACTAGCTGCGCCCCACCCTCCCAGCAGACCAGGGACACAGGGAGCAAAGCCGCAGTGGCGGCGGGGTGCCACGCCTCCCCAGCTTTGCTTTAGCAAAGCCTCAGAGACGCGGGACCCCTCTGCTTTTTAACCCCAACATGTTCAGTTTGAAGATTTTCCGTTGACAAAACAAAAAGTATCGTGGGAAATTGATATTTTTAACAACTTCCGAGTAAAAATGTATGACAATTTTCCAGTCAGCTGTAAAAATAATTCCATATATTATTTATTCTCCCTCCCCCCACTGAACAGGACTTAATAAATCAGCATTAGGTCAAAGGTGCACTGACAGGAGGTGTCTGTAGGAAACATTCTCCCAGAAGACCACTTTGATCCAAGCCCAGAAACACAATTCAGCCATTTAAAATTATTAACCATGACTTGCTAAAAATGGAACGTTTAGACACTTTACTGAACCACTCAGCCTAGGCAAGAGGAGGGGTTAGGAGGCCAATGCAGCAATACAGTTTACTGCAACAGTCCTGATCAAAGCTGAAAAGGCCCATGATCAGAAAAGGTGCTAGACACCCAGAATCCTCATCTCAGACTCTGTTACACAAGATATGTGGGCAATCATTTTTGACCGAGAAATTTTTGAAGTGGCCCTCGGCCGCCCCGAAAGAGGCAGGGGGGCCAGGACACTTACGTGCTTCCCCACCCACAGACCATAATTGGTCTGGGGGTGAGGGAGTGCACAAAGTCTTTGCACTCCATCCCCCCAAGAGACCTGCCAGCTGTTTTGAACAGCTGGCGCTTCCCTCTAGGCGCCCGTGCCCCTGGCAATGGGGGGAAACTTGGCAGATACATACACCCTGCCCCCAGGTCAATCAGGGCACTCCTTGCGCAGTCCTTGAAGGGTGGGGACAGGGCAGGAGGAGACTTCATGCGCTTCCCCCTGACCTCCTAGGCTCTGACTGACTTGGGGGGGGAAGAGGGAGGGAGAAGCGCGAAGTCTCTCACTGCCTGCCCTCTGGCACGCCCACGCTTAGAGTCAACCACCAGAGTTGACTCTAAGCACCACACACTCCCCTGTCCCTAGGCCCTGATCAACCTGGGAGCGGGATAGTGGGAGGGCCTCCGGAGGCCAGATCTTGCCCACGAAGGCCCTTTTGCTCACCCCTGGTCTACATGGAATGTTTTACCAGTGATACTAATATAAATCCCCATGTTGACATACGAGCATGGCTTTTGTTTAGCCTATATCCTGTCTCAAGCCAAAAAACAAAAAAAACAGGCTCTGTCATACCAGAATAAGAGCATCCACATGGTAGTTACACAGGTATAACTTTACTGATTTAAACTCACCCCTAATGTTATACTACAAACTTTCCCATATAAGTAAGGCTTGAAAAGCAGAATGCCTGAGAAAATACCCCGCATAGAGGTGGCATTTCTCACTTTCAAAGCTCTTTATCAACATGACATTAACCTCTCAATACCCTGTGAGGTAGGCAAAGGTAAGCTCCATTTTTCAGATGGAGAAACCAAGGCACAAAGAAGTTAAGTGACTTGCCCAAGAATAGTGAGTGGAGGGGAGGGGAGGGGAGACAATGGGATGGTTAGAATTAGAATCCAGGCATTTCCTGCTCCTTTGCCATACACCCGTGGTCCCCAACCCGGTGCCCGCGGGCGCCATGGCGCCCGCCGGGCCCTTTACATGCGCCTGCGGAGCAATCTGGGCTGGCCCCGCCCCCGGGCGTGCGGCAGGTGCCAGCCTCGGGTGCATGGCCGGCCCCGGGTGCGCCGCGCATGCCCTTGCCGGCC